TGAACTTATTGCACATATTAAACCTGGAACTAACAAAGCTTAAATTATTGCCTATAAAAACAACATTAAACATGAAATAATCAGTTGCATTAATTTCTTATGGCTCTGTCTGCAGCTTTTCCGGAGTCATTTCTTATGATTACATTTTCCCACAGGCCAACAACAGCTTCAAAAAAACAATTCCCCTCAAAAACAAAAACAAACATGCCCTGTTGTCGCAAGAAAAAAAGTGCAGAAGGAAACATCCATTGAAACTCAGTTTGCTGCTGTGATGCTAAGCCAGATACTTGGCATCTCATCTTGGGTGCAAGTTCATCAATGTGTGGGCTCAGGCTCTGAGCTGAGGAAACCCTCAGGATTGAGTGAAGGTGTGCGTGCAATATACCGGAGGGCCAGATCTAATAGTAATTAGAAATTATCCTGCGGGCCGAAATTAAATCCACCAAGGGCCTGATTTGGCCCCCGGGCCTTGAGTTTGACCCATGTGATATAGGTGTTCCCATAGATCTAGTCTCTTTATTTTCCCCTGAAAGTGCATTTAACTCCAAAATAAATAAACAAATCTTACCGGGGGAGCATGCCCCCGGACCCCCCTAGAAGATTTGAGGTCCACCCCTACTTAAAATCACATGGATAGGTTCCTAAAGACATTTACAATTTTTTTTAAATAGTAACTCATGTCCATATGTTTATTTGTGGGTAGTAGATTTAAACTATAGGGCTATCACTATGGGCCCTGCCTGTACCTGTTCGCTCTGCCATCGCAACCAACAGAAAGGTTAATGTTAATGTTGTTGCACGTCACAAAAGCACGTCACCTCAAACCCCCCCCCCCCCCCCTACCAGCACCCCCCCAAGTCTATTTCAGATCTGTAGTGCACACTACAGTGTGGATGGTGAGGGCTATGGCGTCGTCTGTGGATCTTTTTGCGCTGTAGGCAAACTGCAGGGGGTCCAGAGAGTCAGGGAGGGAGGAGGTGATGAATGATTTGACTAACCGCTCAAAGCACTTCATTATGATGGAGGTGAGCTACCGGGCGGTAGTCGTTGAGGCTGGTGATTTTTGTCTTTTTGGGGACAGGAACGCTGGTGGAGTGTTTAACGCTAAATATGACACAATGTATCAATGATCCTACTTGACTCATATTATTGAGATCTCTTTAATGACATAAGTTAGATTTTGGTTGTAAAAATGTGAAAGTTAAACTTAAATGCATAATTTGTTTATCTGCATTGATGGGGTCCTACTACAACATGATTAAGATGGCACACTCGGTAAACACACTCAATTTTAAACGTTTTTTTACGGCCATCCGTCTGGTAGGTGGTGTGCGTGGAGGTTGGGACAACCTGCTGGCTGTTATCCCCGGTGGCTCCTCCACCCCTCTTATTCCCAAGGACGTCTGTGCAGAGGTGCTGATGGACTTTGACGGTCTCCTCCAGGCTCAGACTGGCCTGGGCACCGCTGCAGTCATCGTTATGGACAAATCTGTACGTTTTTTCACCTCCGCTACATAATACATCATGCATAAAGAAATCATCAAACCTCTCTTACATTGGGTGCTTTGTTTTTTGCAGACTGACATCATTAGAGCTATCGCCCGCCTGATTGAGTTCTACAAGCATGAGAGCTGTGGCCAGTGCACGCCCTGCAGAGAAGGTAAGTGCTGTGCCAGTTCAGATTTTCGAAGTATGGCTGTATGTGGCACTTATCCATACGCAACCAACTAAAAGAAAGTCCCATCTACCTAAATTATTATCTGTTCAAGGGTATGGTATATGTTTAATATTTTCACTGCTTTACCTTGCCGCTGGATGGTGCTTTTCCGACGGGGAACTGACGCTGTTGTCTATGTTTTTCAAACCCATCAGACTCCTTTTTTTTAAAACTGTAACTTTACATTGCAGAAAACAGGATGTTCTGAACTTCCACTGCATCTATCTGATTTTTTGGTGTTATTGTGTGCCTATGATGGATCTGATCTAGCACTTGAATCGCTATCGTCATAGAGTAACACAAACAAACTAACAGATTGAGGCAGTGGTAGCACAGTAACTTCTGTGATCTATGAATAAATAATTAAAAATGTTTTTGGGTGGTTAAAATACATTTAACTACTGTACAGTACAGTACATTGATTAGCTTCTGTGCCAATAATCCCGTCTGTTTCTCCAAACTGAGGCCATGCACACTTCCATTCACAACGACCCTTATTAAGAAAATCTGAACTACCACTTTGAAATGACACACATTAGTTGTCACCAATGTCTTTTAATACCATCAACAAACTTCTAAATGTCTCTTTCGTGTGTATCTGTAGGAGTGGACTGGATGAATAACATGATGTGGCGTTTTGTGAGTGGTAATGCACGGCCAACAGAGATCGACATGATTTGGGAGCTCAGTAAGCAGATTGAGGGACACACTATCTGTGCCCTGGGAGATGGTGCGGCTTGGCCAGTGCAGGTAAACACATTTACTGTCATAATGCATTGGCATGCTAAGACGATCGTTGATGGATTCAATGGGGGACTCTAAGGACATTAATAGGTTGACCTTTTGCAGGCTGCAGTATTTGGTGTTATTAAATTGAATTGTATTACATTGAAAATCATCCCTATTGACAGCAGACAAAATTACTATTGAATTAACAATAACAAAAACTGAATGTCAATATATATGTAAACAGGAGTGCCTCTGTCATGGGTCTTCTATTTTTAAGCTGAATATTACACTTTTAACACTTAGGAGTTAAGACTCGCAGTTTTTTGTAAATAAACTCTGACATGTTTGTTGTAGAGCTGTTCTTGTTCTTCTTTATTAATTTACTATCTTCCTTTGTTGCTCTTTACCTTGTTCTCAGGGATTGATCAGGCACTTCAGGCCTGTGATGGAAAGCCGAATTGCTGAACACCAGCAGCAGCAGCAGCAGGCCAGAGCTTAAATGGCTCCTATAACTCCTTGAACTCATTCTTCTGCCTATTTTGCCCTTAACCCTGTGCTTCTGTAATTCACAAACTATTTAAAGCGATAATGTGCCGTCTTATCACCTCATCATCAAATGTTGCATTGATGTGTCTGCCTTGTGTGGTGAAAATACCAATAAAATTATATGAACCTTAAACTAGACTTTGTTGTGTCTTTGTAATTTGTAGGCTATTAAAAAAAATGTTTACTTGTATAATATTGTGGAAATTAGAAACCTCCTTAACTCAAGTCATTTCAGTAAACAGTTTTTTTTATTATTCCCACCAAAACCTGAAGCACCAGAGTTGTAATATAAATGTTTTTTTTAATTCCCTAGCTCCCTTTTTGCTTGTTTTCAATGTTTACAAATGAACAGAACAGCACACACTTAATATGTATTAACAGATGTTCAACACAACCAGGGGTAAACACTTATAAATATATATATATAAAACTTTTTTTGCTTGTTTTTTTCATTTTATAAACGAAAATTAGACGGAATGAAAGAAGGAAGATACTGACATGGACATGTGTAGAAATTAAGTGGTTTTTTTGGTCACTTTTGACTATTAAATACAACTGAATGTCTGAATTTAAGTAGAATTGAAGACAATGTATGCGTCCTGAAAAACAGTAATCCTCTCTTTTCCTGTTCACCTTATACACTACAGACTTTCAATACAACTCAGAGTCATGCCATCTGCAGACGTTTTCAGATGACTCTGCAGTGGTAGGGTGTATAAGGGATGGACGGGAGGAGGAGTACAGAGCGCTGGTGCGTGATTTTGTGGAGTGGACTGGAATAAATAATCTGCTTCTGAATGTGGCCAAGACCAGAGAGATGGTCATTGACTTCAGGAGGAAGAGGACGTCTCCACTGCCCCTGTGCATTCTGGGAGAGGATGTGGCTGTTGTGGAGGACTACAAGTACCTGGGAGTGCACTTAGAGTAGACAATGGATTGAACTGGAGGATCAACACTGACGCTGTGTACAAGAAGGGGATGAGCAGACTATTTTCTGAGGAAGCTGAGATCCTTCAACGTGTGCAGCAAGATGTTCGAGATCTTCTACCAGTCTGTTGTTGCCAGTGATCTCTTCTTTGCTGCGGTCTGCTGGGGGGGCAGCATCAGAGCCGGTGACACCAGCAGAATCAATAAACTGATCAGGAAAGCTGGGTCTGTCATCGGCATCAAGCTGGACCCTTTTGAAGCTGTGGTGGAGAGGAGGACACTGAACAGGCTGTTGTCTATCATGGATAACCCCACCCAACCTCTCCACCTGCAGCTGGACAGTCAACAGAGCTCCTTCTCCAACAGACTGCTGCAGCTCCGCTGTCACAAGGACAGATACTGGAAAACATTCCTGCCCACTGCAATAACTCGATATAACAAATCACCTCTGGCTGGCAGAGAACTCTCTGCTCCATAGCTTCTCTTGGACTTAACATCACACTGTACATTTTACATTTATATTCAATTTAATATTTAATATTCCATGCCTCACATACATGTATATATAATAACTTGCTTTATATTACTGTACATTTTGTAATTCAACATGTATATTTTCTACTTTCTTGTTTATTTCTAGTCTTTACATTTTTATTGTACAATGCCATGTCTTTTTATGCTGCTGCAACACAACAATTTCCCAAATTGGGATCAATAAAGTACTTCTTAACTTATCTTAATGTATAAAATACTGTAACTCGTTTAAAAGACACTCCACAAACCTACAACTACACTTTGAAAATCTCGCGACTCAGAGAGATGTGCTTCTATTTCGTATAAGGCTTCGCCCTCTAAGGCTATCGCTATTGGGTAATCCCACTGCGCATGCGCAGCACTGACAGACTTAATCCACGCCCACCTATGACGTGGGCCCCACCTACGGTCTCACTTCCGTATAAATAGGAAGTATGCCCGTCAATCTGCTCCCACTTTTCTTCAGCACGTAGTAGCAGAAGCACTGTAGCAGGCACATTAGAAAACAAAGATTCCTCCCTTACGAAGCTTTGTTTCTAGTGGAAAGATGGAGATGAGCAAGGTAAGTCAGGGCTGCGTCCGGAACTGCCTTTCATGTGAGGCGGGCTACATAATGAGTTTTGACAAACACTCACAGTGTGAGTCCTGCTTGGGGTTAGAGCATGCGAAAGCTGCTCTTTCCCCACAGGTGTCATGCTCATTATGTGCCCGGCTCCCTCTGGCCCTCAGACAGCAGAGAGCGGACGCTCTCGCTGCTGCTGCGGTCGAGGATGATTGGGCAGTCCCAGAGGTTTACTCTGTGGACGAGGCCCTGGACTTCTTGGATCCGAGTGGAGGGCACGAGTCGGACGACTACGCCCCCTCCATTCATGGATCACCAGGTGGTTCCCCCATCCTCTCTCTCCTCCGGACGGAGGAGACAGAGCGGGGTCCCGGTGTAAGTCCGGTAGACGGACCAGTGGTCTCTCTCTCCGCCGTCACGGCTCTGCCGTCGATTGGCGGAATTCTCCAGGAACTCCCGGAGATCATCTCTAAGGCAGCCGCCTGGCGAGATCTCCGCGTTCCCCCAGCTCAGGAGAGCACGTTTTCGGATGACATGTCCGGGGTGTTCTCCCAGGCACAGAGGGTCAGGAGTGACCCGATCTGGCCACGCTTCCCGCCCATTAGGAAGTACCAGGAGGGGGCGGCGGCGAACCCCAGGACACTGAGGGCTCCTGTATCCACGTACGCTCCCCTCGCGAGGGTGGAGGGATTTACGGATAAGGGTTTTCCGACCGTGCCGCCTCTGGAGCCGAGCCTCACGACGTTTTTTGGAGTTAAGCAGGCCAGCACGGTTGCCGGACGGCGACCCATGCTGACTGCCTCCAGAGATCAGTTTGTCGCCCGACAGACCGACCGGATGCACCAGTGTGCTTACCAGGCGTCAGCGGCGGCCAACAATATTGCGTTGCTGGTGAATTCCATGGTACGTATAGCTGAGCAGTCCGACACCATGTCCTCAGGGGAGGCTGAGGAGATTGGTAAGGCGGCCAGCACTGCACTTACCCTGAGCGCCGCAGTTGCAGTTTCGCAGGCGCGGATTACGACGTGGGCGACTCAGGTCCACCGGTACCTCTGGCTACAGCAGGGATCTATACCGGAGGGTGCAGGGAAAGAGCTGATAGAGGCTCCAATCAGTCCGGACGGACTGTTCGGACCTCAGTTCCACACCATGGTGGAGTCAAGGAAGTCTGCATCGGAGCAGGCAGACGACATACGGTGTCACGTCGGATGGCTTCAGCCGGACAGACGTCCCCAGCAACAGCAGCGACAGCAGCGCCCGCAGCACCTGCAACAGTCTCAGCAGGGGCAGCGCGGGCAACGGCGAGATCAGCAGCGGCGCCAGAATCGCCCTTCGGCGGCTGCGGGGGCACCGTCCCATGTCTCCGCTCCTCCGCCACAGAGACAGAGTCTCCAGGCGACGAGTCGGAAGGGAACGAAGAACCCCCGCTCCTGGTCTGCTCCTCCGGCTCCGAGAGAGCCTCCGAGGAAGCAGAGCCGAAAGTGACTTTTTGGGGGGGATGTGCGGGAGTACATTTTCAATAAAAATGTTGAAAATTCCAACAGTGTGTCTGTAGCAGCTGTTTCTCACATTTCCCCCACACTAGTCAGGCCGACTGTTGTTAATCTGTCGGTTAACAGACAGCAAGATTCGCTGCATAAACCAGCTGTTTGTAACCTGTCGGTTAACAGACAGCTGGGCTTGCCGTTTGAGCAGGCTGCCTCTGACCTGTCGGTTAGCAGGCGGCAGGGCTCGCTGCACAAGCCAGCTGTATATAACCAGGCGGTTATTAGACAGCGGGGCTTGACGTGTAAACCTGTTGCCTCTGGCCTATCGGTTAGCAGGCAGCACGGTTTTTCCTCTGTCCCAGGTGTGCCTGCTTCACACGGTCGTAATGAGCCTAGGGCTGTTATTACGCGCTGTATGAATAGCACTGCACACACCTCCGCTCTTTCCTCAGGCCGGGGTGAGATGCAGTGTGTGGAGACCCCGTCACAGCCCTTTCGGGCGGGGCCCCCCTTGGGTTGCTTCACGAGCAACAGCGGCAAGGGCTCTGGCATGGCTCGTCACCATGACTACCACAGCACAACAAGAACAGGTTTGCCCGCTCTCGGAGCATTGCTCAGAGTGGCGGCGGATATGTTTGATGGACAGATGGATGAGCAGGCTGATCAGCAGAGGGTACTCTCTGCAATTCGCCTCCCCTCCCCCGCAGTTCAATGGGATTCAGGAAACACTCCTGTCATCCCAAGAACAGTGTCTTGCGCTCCAGGAGGAGCTGCAGGAACTCCTGGTAAAAAGTGCGATTTCCAGAGTTCCTCAAGGGGAAGAAAATCGGAGGTTTTACTCCCGTTATTTTCTTATCCCAAAAAAGACCGGGGGAATGAGACCCATCCTCGATCTGTCAGCATTCAACAGGGTGATAATGAAAAGACCTTTTCATATGCTGACAATCAAACAGGTGCTGGAATACGTTCACCAGGGGGACTGGTTTATGTCAATAGACCTGAAGGATGCCTACTTCCACATAACCATAATCCCGAAACACAGGAAATTCCTGCGTTTTTCTTTCCAGGGAATTTCGTACCAGTTCAATCGACTGCCGTTCGGATACTCCCTGGCTCCTCGCACTTTTTCAAAGTGTGTGGAGACGGCTCTGGAGCCGCTTCACAGAGGAGGGATGAGGGTGTTATTTTATCTGGACGACCTGCTGTTGCTGGCTCGATCCAAGAAGGAGGCTGCTTTACAGACGGTACAGCTCGTATCTCATCTGTCAAGCCTGGGTTTCATTGTCAACTGGAAGAAGAGCTGTCCTCTTCCCTCCCAGGTTATCATTTATCTGGGAGTGGAATTGAACTCAGCCCTCATGAGAGCGCGACTCTCACAGCAGAGAGTGGAGAAAGTGACAGCTCTCCTCCGACGCGTCACACCTCGCAGGGTGGTGACAGCCCTCTCCGTGATGCAGCTGTTGGGCATGATGTCAGCTGGTCACGTGGTGATCCCTCTGGGACTCCTTCACATGAGGAGACTCCAGAGGTGGTTTATTCGCCTGCACATCGACCCCGTGCGGCAGAAGAGACGCATGGTGTACATTCCCCCTTCCGTGGGTTTGGATTTAGCCTATTGGAAAAATCTCCACGTCCTGTCAGTGGGGGTTCCCCTGGGCAGAGTGACGTCACACACAGCGGTGTTCACAGACGCATCTCTCGCAGGCTGGGGAGGAACGTGCATGTCGCAGGCAGTGGGGGGACAGTGGCCGGCTCACATGTCTCTCCACATAAACGTGCTGGAGTTAATCTCCGTATGGAGAGTAATCCAGCACTTCGCCCCGTTGCTGTTCAATCAACATGTGTTGATTCGGACAGACAACAGAGCAGCGGCGGCATACATAAATCGCCAGGGAGGCGTACGATCAGCGCAGCTGCTGAGCACAGCCAGGCGGCTGCTGTGCTGGGCGCAAACACACGTACTCTCTATCAGAGCGGTGTATATTCCCGGCGTGTTGAACAGAGGGGCGGACCTCATGTCCAGAGGAGGTCCTCGCCAAGGGGACTGGAGCCTCCACCCCGAATTGGTCTCCCAGGTATGGAGCAGGTTCGGGAGAGCGGAGGTGGATCTGTTCGCTGCACGCGAGAACGCGCAGTGTGCCCTCTGGTTCTCCCTGAGAACGCAGGACCACCCCCCCCTGGGCGTGGACGCGTTCGCACACAGGCCGTGGCCAAAGGTGTTGTTATACGCTTTCCCACCAGTCCCTCTGATCCCTCGGTTCCTGGACCGAGTGCAGGAGGAGAGACTGACAGCGATTTTAATAGCACCGGAACGCACGGGAGCGTCCTGGTTTCCATGCCTACAGCGGATGCTGTCAGGGAGGCCGTGGGAAATTCCGTGGCGCAGGGACGCTCTCTCCCAGGTGGAGGGAGCGATCAGCGGTCACCCAGTATTGGGCCAACGTTTGTGGGCATGGCCCCTGAACGGGAACATTTAGAGGGGATGGGCCTCTCTAAAAATGTTATTAGTACCATTCAGGGTTCAAGGGCGGCGTCCACCAGAGCATCCTACACAGCCAAATGGGCAGCGTTCCAGCGCTGGTGTGTAGGGAAAAGCCTGGACCCCATTACGTGCCCCCTGCCTCACGTGCTGTCGTTCCTCCAGACCTTACTAGACAGGAATTTGGCTTATAGCACGGTCAAAACGTACGCTGCTGCCATCTCATCTTGCCACGTAGGGTTTGGTGTCAGTACGGTGTTTAGTCACCCTCTGACAACACGCTTTCTACGGGGAGTACAGAGACTCAGACCGGTGTCACGCGCTTTGGCGCCTCAATGGGATTTGGCGTTGGTGTTACGCGCACTGAGTAAAGCTCCATTCAAACCTTTATATCAGGTCCCCCTGAAGTTCTTGTCAGCCAAAGTAGCTCTGCTCTTGGCCCTAACATCAGCTAAAAGGGTGAGTGATTTGTCTGCTCTCTCTGTGGCTCCGTCATGCCTCCAGATCCAAGGAGATGGCAGCTCAGCTGTTTTGCGCCCTAACCCGGCTTTTATGCCAAAGGTTATCACAAGCTCTTTTAGATCAAGAGTGATAACTTTGGATGGTTTCTTCCCTCCTCCTCACTCATCGGAGGAAGAAGCCACATCTCATCTCCTCTGTCCCGTACGTGCGCTGTCATGCTATATTGCACGCACAGCCACATTGCGTAGGTCCCAGCGCCTGTTTGTGCATCACAGAGAGCACTCAATAGGGCAGCCTCTGTCTGCACAGCGCCTGTCACACTGGTTGTGTGAGGCTGTGTCACAGGCGTATGTCTCCTCTGGGAAGGATCCCCCGGAAAACATCAAAGCGCACAGCATCAGAGGAATTTCAACCTCTACGGCTTTGCACGGAGGAATGACAGTGGAAGACATTTGCACTGCGGCATCTTGGTCTTCCCCCTGTTCTTTTATTCGTTTTTATTTGAGGGATGTCTCCCATTCCTCTCTTACTCATTCAGTACTCAGTGTCCTGTCAGATTGAGTAATGTCAGAGACTGAACGGTGTGCCCTCTCTCCTACCTGTCGGCACTGAGAGAGCTGCCCCTTTTCCCCCCTCTTTTATCGTTTTAACAAGTGGGATTTTTTATCTCTACTTTTTAAAATGCTATATTTCCAGGGACTGTGATGCTCCTTTACGCATGGGTTATTAATTGAGTAGATGTGTTTTTGTACTTCTGGTAACGGACGGACCAGTGGGGCGTGGACTACATCCTGCTTCGCCCTTAACCCAATAGCGATAGCCTTAGAGGGCGAAGCCTTATACGAAATAGAACTGGGGTTACGTATTGTAACCCAGCTTCTATGAGTATAGGCGCAGCCCTCTAAGGTTCGGGCCCCACTGGCTCCGCGAATAGCTGAAGAAAAGCTGTTTGTGTGGGAGCAGATTGACAGGCATACTTCCTATTTATACGGAAGTGAGACCGTAGGTGGGGCCCACGTCATAGGTGGGCGTGGATTAAGTCTGTCAGTGCTGCGCATGCGCAGTGGGATTACCCAATAGCGATAGCCTTAGAGGGCTGCGCCTATACTCATAGAAGCTGGGTTACAATACGTAACCCCAGTTTTCCAGACACTGAAGAAAGCAAAATTCCATGACTTGTCGCTATCAGGGCTGTTAGGGAAAACATCAGGCAATATGTATTGTGAGATTATTACGTTTCTAAGAGAAATTGATACATTTAAAATAATCTAGTTTTTTTTTTTTTTTTGTTTGTTTGTTTTTTGGTTTTGTTTTATTTATTTTGTTTATTGTTTTCTGCATAGTCTCTTGTCCACACTCCAGTCCAGTTGGTGGCGGCAGAGCCGTATAATAGAAGAGTTACGACATCTCCGTTCACTCCAATGGACCAGTTTTTTTTACAGCAATGGCGGATCGTGCAGCCGTCAATAGTTCCCCGGAAGTTAGCTTGCCGCTGACTTCCGGGGAACCTTTGCGACCAGTAGTGATGGGAATTCCGGCTCTTCTTGGTGAGCCGGATCATTTGGCTCGGCTCACCAAGAAGAGCCGGCTCTTTCGGCTCCCAAACGGCTCTTCAGTTTACCACATATTATACCTTTTATAATTCAATCAAATGTAGCCCTGTTTTGACTAATGATTTATATGTGTACACATATCACTTAAATTATTCAATACATCCTTTGTACTGAAGTATTCAAAAGTAAAAATTACATGTTTAATATCAATTATTTGCTGCATGTGGCCAATTGTTTTCATTGCATTTACAGACCCTTGTATCTCTCTGATACCACTCAATGAATGCACAGACTTGCTTGTAGAACCACGCTACACAAAGCAGATAGCAACACCTATAAAAACTTAAGCATAGACATTTAAAAAAAGGGGCTACTGTATCGACATTTTAAAATTATATTTAAAGAAAAGGCCCTGACAAAACAGCAGGGCTCTATTTCAGTATTAACTATAGAAAAAAGACAGCAACAGCTGACATCAAATCTTTGCTGAGCCCAAGGATAATCATAAATAAATAACATAGTGAAAATAAATATATTGCAATGCTCAGTACAGCAGCATCCAACCGTCTCTAATCATAAAAAAACATAATACAAATAAATGTATTGCAATGCTCAAAACAGCAGCATCCAACAGTCTCTAATCCTTGGATATGACATGCCACTGCATGCATGCACGGAGCAGCTGTAGCGCGGAGATCATCATATCATTCTGTCTTGTATTACTTAACAAAAAATAACAAAAACAAAAAAACGGCTCGTTCGCGGGCGCGAGCCGGCTCCCGTCGTTCACTTAAAAGAGCCGGCTCTTTGAGCCGGCTCGTTCGCGACCGACACATCACTAGCGACCAGCAACACAGTAGAGTTGCAGCATAATAGACCGTTCGTGATGGACTTTTAAAGGTAAGAAGACGTTTAAAGATTTATATTGCAGATATTATCAGCACATCTGAGTCAAATGAACATGTGTATTAAAGGATGTTAGTGGATTATCCCTAAATCTACAGATAACAGATTAGGCTAGGATACCGGATAAAGTTAGCAACACACGTTAACCATGAACAGCTATTAATCCGTTCTCCTAATGTTATTTCATCCAACGTTGTGGAATTAGAGAAAAAGGGCTTCTAAACGTGATTTTTTTGTGGGGTGGAGGAATATAATATTAGTTAAATATAACATTGGGGCACGTGTGATTGTAATGAGTGGAGGTGGAGAAATTACGATCTCCATTTTGGAGTAGACCTACAAACTAGTATAATAAAGTTAACGTTACACAATAATAAGGAAGAGAGCTATTTGTGTGATACATCGCTATTGATATTAATTTAGAGTGCATATTTGAGACTTCCAAACAGTAAACAAAAACGTAATTTATGGGTGAGTGTTTTTAGTGTATTCTGTTGATTATTACCTGTCTGTATTATGTTGCAGCTCAGCTGATTTTGAAATGATGGCAAAGTGAGAGTGAAAACACAAGGTACATTTAATACTACTGTTGTATATAAGTAAGCATACTAAACATGTATTCTATCACTGTATTATATAAGTAATCTTGTTAGTGTATATTAGTAACCTACTGTATGGCAGGTGGAGGGGCAGTGATGTTACAGGTGGAGGACTTACTGGACATGTATACACTCATTACATACTGTACGTAAAATACGACCAAGAATGTGAGACAACTTTATACAAATTCATATCACATCCATTACTGATGCCATTTGTCATACTTTGTTAAACTCACAAATAATAAAGTTCCATAACTTCAGTTGAAAACAAAAACCACACCTTATCTCCCCAAGGCAATTTCCCATCCAATAGGTGTGCTATATAGGTGTGTATAACCCTTTCTCCTGTCTGTTTCTCCCTCTTTCAGCACAAGAACCAGAGGGGGATTCAATAGAGCCTGAATACCTGCACTGAGACCCTCACCCTGCACCCTGAGTCTCAACTCTCAGAGTTTTTCAAGCCTTTCCCTGTTATTTGTATTAAACCAAACATTAAGCTTCCCAATGGTGTGGTCTTCGTTTTGTGGAAAAAGTGCAAATGCAGTGTTTGAATATGATTACCTCACATATTTTGTTGCGGCTGTCTGTTTTGATTGTTAAATTGCTCCTGCTGACTTGAGCTAGCCATTTTTTCCTCCTCTCAGTGTCAGTGGGGAAGCCGTACATTCTGATTCTTACTCCTTTCTCTGAGCGATTGGAGCATCCCCAGGCAGCACAGCAATCCATGGTGGAGACGATATGCCAGGACAACACGGAGGAAAAGGCACAGACAAACTGCATGACATGCTATTCAATGTTTATTGAATTCCATGTATTTACAATGGATGTTCCTAAAACAACACTTTTAACGTCATAATCATGTTGCTGCTAGTCCATTGATAGTCACCTGTTGGTCTCCTGTCCTTTCTGAAAGTCATAAAGATGACATTAGTCATTTAGATTACTTATGTCCTCAAGTACCATGGGATTACTGAAACCACCATGAATTAAAAAAAATGGTAGAAATTAATCTAATCTAAATTTTGAAGCATTCCTTGCCATCCCCTCCCTCTAAATATATCAATAAACATTAGGAAGTGATGCTCCTGACTACCATACCTGTTTAAGAAGATAATATTTGTTTTAAATAATTCAAAGCAATACACAACAGCAACAGGCTCTTTAACCAAGGCAACAGCCTAACATGTATATGTTAACAAGTAAACTAGCTGTTCACACTATTCCTAATATTATCCATAAATATTAGCAGATTCTATTTATTTTTTAAAACATATTGATGTAAATACATACACATATCGGTATGTTGTATAAATATTGCAAATCAAGACCTTTATTCACTACTTATTACCAAAAATCGTAGTTCTATCTCCGGTAATCATGCATTCATATGTCCCGCCACGAACTTCCGGGGAACTATTGACTCTCCCTGAACCACGTGACGTGACGATCAAGCATTTCTGGACTTCCGCTGTCGTAACTCTTCTATCTATATGGCGCTGGGTGGCGGTAATGCACCTACAAGTTGGTTTGCCAACCGCCAATAAACACTAAAGAAGAAGAAGAAGAAGA